TGTAATTTATGGAAGCGTGTTTCTGCCGCGGAATACAAAAATATAAAAGGTAGTTATGACTTTTCAACTTTTTGAAATTCTGACTTTTTTTTGTTTTCAATTCTGCAAGATACAAACTCAGAATTGCAAGATATAAACTCACAATTGCGAGAAAAAAGTCACAATTGCAAAATATCAATTCAGAATTGCGATATAAAAAAGTCAGAATTGCGAGATAACGCAGAATTGCGAGAAAAAAGTCAGAATTGTGAGATAATGCAGAATTGCAAGAAAAAATTAGAATTGCGAGAAAAAAGAATTGCGAGAAAAAAGTCAGAATTGCGAGATAATGCAGAATTGCAAGAAAAAGTCAGAATTCCGAGAAAAAAGTCAGAATTGCGAGATAATGCAGAATTGCGAGAAAAAATTCAGAATTGCGAGATAATGCAGAATTGCGAGAGAAAAGTCAGAATTGCAAGAAAAAAGTCAGAATTGTGAAATAAAGCAGAATTGCAAGATAATGCAGAATTGCAAGAAAAAGGTCATAATTGCGAGAAAAAAGTCAGAATTGTGAGATAATGCAGAATTGCGAGAAAAAAGTCAGAATTGCGAGATAATGCAGAATTGTGAGAAAAAAGTCAGAATTGCAAGAAAAAAGTCAGAATTGCGAGATAATGCAGAATTGCGAGAAAAAAGTCAGAATTGCAAGAAAAAAGTCAGAATTGTGAAATAAAGCAGAATTGCAAGAAAAAGTCAGAATTGCGAGAAAAAACTCAGAATTGCGAGAAAAAACTCAGAATTGCAAGAAAAAGGTCAGAATTGCGAGAAAAAGGTCAGAATTGTGAGATAAAGCAGAATTGCAAGGAAAAGTCAGAATTGCGAGAAAAAAGTCAGAATTGCGAGATAATGCAGAATTGCGAGAAAAAAGTCATAATTGCGAGAAAAAAGTCATAATTGTGAGATGGAGCAGAAATGCGAGAAAAAAATGCAGAATTGCGAGATAATGCAGAATTGCGAGAAAAAAGTCATAATTGCGAGAAAAAAGTCATAATTGTGAGATGGAGCAGAAATGCGAGAAAAAAATGCAGAATTGCGAGATAATGCAGAATTGCGAGAAAAAAGTCATAATTGCGAGAAAAAAGTCATAATTGTGAGATAGAGCAGAAATGCGAGAAAAAAATGCAGAATTGCGAGATAATGCAGAATTGCAAGAAAAAGGTCATAATTGCGAGAAAAAAGTCAGAATTGTGAGATAATGCAGAATTGCGAGAAAAAAGTCAGAATTGCGAGAAAAAAGTCAGAATTGTGAAATAAAGCAGAATTGCAAGAAAAAGTCAGAATTGCGAGAAAAAACTCAGAATTGCGAGAAAAAACTCAGAATTGCGAGAAAAAACTCAGAATTGCAAGAAAAAGGTCAGAATTGCGAGAAAAAGGTCAGAATTGTGAGATAAAGCAGAATTGCAAGGAAAAGTCAGAATTGCGAGAAAAAAGTCAGAATTGCGAGATAATGCAGAATTGCGAGAAAAAAGTCATAATTGCGAGAAAAAAGTCATAATTGTGAGATGAAGCAGAATTGCGAGAAAAAATTCAGAATTGCGAGAAAAAAAGTCAGAATTGTGAGATGAAGCAGAATTGCGAGAAAAAAGTCAGAATTGCGAGATAATGCAGAATTGCGTGAAAAAAGTCAGAATTGCGAGAAAAAAGTCAGAATTGTGAAATAAAGCAGAATTGCAAGAAAAGGTCAGAATTGCGAGAAAAAAGTCAGAATTGCAAGAAAATGCAGAATTGCAAGAAAAAGGTCAGAATTGTGAGATAAAGCAGAATTGCAAGAAAAAGTCATCAAACTCAGAATTGTAAGATATAAACTCGCAATTCAGAGAAGAAAAGTCTGTAGTGTGAGATGTAACCTTGCAATTGCAAGAAAAAGACAAAATTGTGAGATATAAACTCAAAATCACAAGAAAAAAGTCAGAATCGCAAAATTATGAAATTAGAACTGTGGGGAAAAAAGTCAGAATTCCGAGATATGAACTCAGAATTGCAAGAAAAACTCAGAATTGCGAGATAAAAACTCAGAATTGCAAAAAAAAGTCAGAATTGCAAGATAACGCAGAATTGCGAGAAAAAATTCAGAATTGCGAGATAACGCAGAATTGCGAGAAAAAAGTCAGAATTGTGAGAAAAAGTCAAAATTGCGAGAAAAAAGTCAGAATTGCGAGAAAAAGCAGAATTGCGAGAAAAACTCAGACTTGCGAGAAAAAGTCAAAATTGCAAGATATAAACTCAGAATTGCGAGAAAAAAGTCAGAATTGCAAGAAAAAAGTCAGAATTACGAGATAATGAACCCATAATTCTAGGAATACAAAAATACAAGGAGTACAAGAGTGTGTGTGTGTGTGTGTGTGTGTGTGTGTGTGTGTGTGCTTGCACACACATGTAGGTTTTCTTGACATTCTTTATTGTTTTCCAGTATGTGCCGGTGTGTCTGATGATGAGAACAGAATAACGTCAGATACTGTAAGCACCAGAAGCCTCTCTGTTTCCAGTCAATCCGTCTTTATTAATATTCTCACACTCACTGGATTAAAGACGGAGCAGAAGTGACATGAGCACTGATCTGCAGCTCACATCACTGTGTAAATAGAGCAGCGACAACAACATGAAATGAACTGTAAAAATAGAAATGTCCCGGAGAGATGGGCGAGAGACAGCGTATGAATTATGAACGTCGCTCTAGAATAATCGGCTCTTTGTAGAATGTTCTAGATGTGGCGTGTTATTGATCCTGATTTACTCTGACTGAAGCAGTAAATGTGCTTTTCTTGAGTCATTGATAATCATTTCTTCACTCTAATAGTACATGTGCAAAATCCAATTGTGTTTTCAGTGTTTAATTATTCAGTGTTTCTGTCTTCAGCAATTAATACCGAATCCATCAGGACTGAACACATCACAGAATCAATGCACTGCTGATTTATTATTGATTCATGTTTTTTTTTTCTTCATAAGATTACATTATGGTATATAATATATTGTGTAGGTAATTTTGAGAAATATTTAAAATGAATAATAATAATGAAATGTTGTTATAGAGTTTAAATATAATTAAACATATTTATCATTATTGTTTTATTTTAAAGTATTATATTTATATATTTAAATGCCTATTTATTTAACTAAAAATCTAATAAAGCTAAACTAGTTTTACAGTCATCATCTTTATCATTTTTTTCAGTCAAATTTGTTTGTTTGTTATTTTTATATTTAATTATTATATTAGAATTTTGAATGTTTAAATATAATTAAATACTTCTTAAATTATTTATTATTTTTTGAAGTCTTATTTCTTATTTCAGTCAAATCTTTGTTTGTTATTTTTAAAGAATTTTCTTTTATATTTAATTATTATATTTAAATTTTAAAATGTAATTAAATATTTTTATAGATGTTTTATGTTAAGTATTATAATTAGATATTTAAATGTATTTTAACTAAAATTAAAATCAAGCTTAATTAGTCTTACAATCTTGTTTTAAAGTCAAATGTTTGTGTTTGTTATTTTTTAAATGCTTTTTAAAAAATATTTAATTATAGTATTTAAATATAGAAATGTTTTAATATAATTAAACATTTTATAATCTGCTTTTTTTATATTTAATTATTATATGCATGTATTTAAATGTTTAGTTTAATTAAATTATTGCTTATTAATACTGCTTATTAATAGTTAGTAAGATAATTGTTAAGTTTAGGTATGAGGTAGGATTAATGGATGTAAAATATGCTCGTCTAGAATAATATGTGCTTTATAAGTACTAATAAACTACTACTAATATTAGTAATATGCATGCTAATAAGCAACTAGTTAATAGTGAGAATAGGTCCTTAAAATAAAGTGTTACCATATGTGTCCCTGCAGCACAAAAGCAGTCTTAAGTCGCTGGGGTATATTTGTAGCAATAGCCAACAATACATTGTATGGGTCAAAATTATACATTTCTCTTTTATGCCAAAAATCATTAGGATATTAAGTAAAGATCATGTTCCATGAAGATATTTTGTAAATTTCCTACCGTAAATATATCAAAACTTAATTTTTGATTAGTAATATGCATTGCTAAGAACTTCATTTGAACAACTTTAAAGATGATTTTCTCAATATTTTTTTGCTCCCTCAGATTCCAGATTTTCAAATAGTTGTATCTCGGCCACATATTGTCCTATCCTAACAAACCATACATCAATGGAAAGCTTATTTATTCCGCTTTCAGATGATGTATAAATCTCAATTTCAAAAAATTGACCCTTATGACTGGTTTTGTGGTCCACGGTCACATTTGTGCTTTATAAGTACTAATAAACTAGTACTAATACTAGTAATATGCATGCTTAGGGTTGCAAAAAGGTGGAAACTTTCCAGGATTTTTTGGAATATTCCAGGGATTTTTGGAAAGTTTCCGGAAATTTTCCACCCCTCTGCAACCCTATGCATGCTAATAAGCAACTAGTTAATAGTGAGAATAGGTCCTTAATATAAAGTGTTACCAAATGTTTCTTATTTAACTAAATATTGAATGATGCTGAATTAGTCCAAATGGCAGTCCAAATTAAGTCAAATGTTTGTGTTTGTTATTTTTTTTTAATTCTGATGTCTCCGTGTGTGTGTGTGTGTGTGTGTGTGTGTGTGTGTGAGCTAGTAACTCATGGTATCATGAGTGTATTGTAAAGATCCACAAGAATATCCTTGTTTTATTACAGTAGTTGATATACTTTGTATGTGTCTGTGTCTGTGTCTGTGTCTGTGTCTGTGTCTGTGTCTGTGTCTGTGTCTGTGTCTGTGTCTGTGTCTGTGTCTGTGTCTGTGTCTGTGTCTGTGTCTGTGTCTGTGTCTGTGTCTGTGTCTGTGTCTGTGTCTGTGTCTGTGTCTGTGTCTGTGTCTGTGTCTGTGTGTTTGTGTCTGTGTCTGTGTCTGTGTGTGTCTGTGTGTCTGTGTGTCTTTGTGCGTGCGTGTGTGTCCGCAGGTGCACGGCTTGGAGAAACAGGTGGGCAAATCTCTGGATTACCTGGAGCATGGACCATCCAGCACAGTCTTCAAGAGCCTCCCATACGGCGTTCCCGCTCCATCAGGTGGCGTCAAACCTCCACACCAGACCTCCAGGATATTCTCCACGCTGGACCACACGCCCTCGAAGCCCAAACCACCCACCTTCAGCTTCCAGAACCCCTACGAATGGGTGCGAAACCAGTCGCAGCTCCTGGACCAAACGGGCTACCGTCCCAAACGCAAGCCCTCCCTCAAAACCTCCAAGACTAAAAAGATCTTCGGCTGGGGCGACTTCTACTTCAACGTCAAGACGCTCAAGTTCACCCTTCTGGTGACGGGGAAGATCGTGGACCACATCAACGGGACGTTTACAGTCTACTTCCGGCACAACTCCTCCAGTCTCGGGAACGTTTCGGTGAGCATCGTTCCTCCGTCCAAAATCGTTGAATTCGAGGTTCTCCAGAACCCTCTTCACTCTGAGATCCAGTTCCACCAGCCGCACCAATCCACCATCGACCCCAAAGACGTCAAAACCTTCAACTGTCGCGTCGAGTACGAGAAGACGGATCGCTCCAAGAAGCCCAAACCCTGCCTTTACGATCCGTCCCAGACCTGCTTCACTGAAAACACCCAGTCGCACTCATCCTGGCTCTGCGCCAAACCCTTCAAAGTCATCTGCATCTTCATCTCCTTCTTCAGCATCGACTACAAGCTAGTGCAGAAGGTCTGTCCGGACTACAACTTTCAGAGCGAATATCCGTATTTGGGATGAAGCGGATGACAATGTGCTGACATTTTTTTGTATATAGAAAGAACCACCCTAATCCGTTCAGCTCTTAATATTGATTGCTTTGTCCGTTTTCGTCCGTTGACTGTTAGACCAACTTGGAACGTGTTGTTTTTTCTACTGATCCTGCTTATGTCTTTCAGAATGGATCTGATGGTTCTGATGCTGAGACGAAAACCAGCTCGAGGTTTCTTCAGATAGCTACACTGATAGCTTATGACAAACCTGTTAATGGCAGGGTTTCACAAACTCGACTGGTAGTTACCATGCCATCGGACTCCACTAGCTTTGGATGATGATGAAAATATAGTCTATTTATAAAACGGAGAGTTCCGGTCCTTGATTCTGATTGGCTGAGCCACGGTCAAATCTCTTGTAAGTTACTCTACAAACACACACCTTTGTTTACGTTTGTGTGTTGCTCGGCAACCACTTTGTTGCAACCACAACTGTTTCTGAGGAGCTACATTGTTTGGTGGAAGAATACTGTTTTTATTAATATCATTACACTTTATTTGCTCTGTTTTATTTTGTGAAACCTTACTACGTGTATGGAATAACCGTTTTATACCCCCATGAAGCCATGGTTTACAGTGAATTTATAACAGCTAAGGGGGTTTTACGCACGACGCGAACAATGCCGCTATCTGTTATAAATTCACTGTAAACCATGGCTTCATGGGGGTTATTGCTTTAATAACAGACGGATGGAAAATATTGATTTTTGATGTCATTATTTTCTTTACTATACAAGGACGTGCAACGATGAATCAACCAGGAACATGAATTTGTTTTGATTTCAAGATATGATGATGAACAAAACCGGAGGATAAATTTCATGAAGCAAAACCTTTAAGTTTGAGTTTTCCCTTAAACTACACTCTTAAAAATAAAGGTTCCAAAGGTTGTGCAATAGAGAAACCATTTTTGCTTCCTCAAAGAAGCTTTCAGTGAACAAATTTTAAATTCTGGCTGTGAAGAACATATTAATGATCTAAAGAAGCTTTTTACGCTGTAAAGAACCTGTAGTGCTTCCGTGGATGTTAAAGGTTCTTCATGGAGCCATCAATGCGAATGAAGATCCTTTATTTTAAAGAGTGTACATTCATAATCAGCAGAAGCTGCACAGCTTTCATGGTAGTCATTTTAGACGGAAAACCAGGTTTAATGGTCAAAACATTGAGCAAAGACCTGCAGGAACTCTGAGAGAGAATAATAAACAGATCCATTTAACAGAATGTTATTCACCCCTGTATGAAGTACCTTTATATATATGATGAAATCAAAGACATAGCTTATCTATTTACTCTGAAATAAAGCTTGAAGAGACACAAAGACAGATATATGGGTGCATCTTTCTTTATTTTTGGACACCGATCACTCTGTGAATCAGAGATATACAGATAGTTCTGTGAATAAAGCATTGCTCGATGATGTGTAGAGTATACATGGTGGGGGGAGTGTGTGTAAATAATGTATCACAAATAAATAATTAAATCTAACCTGCCTGACCCGCTGTTATTATCCAATGATTGACGATGCTGCTTTAAGAAAGAAGACTCAAGACTGCAACGAAGCTCCTTACATTCACTTCACATGATACTGACACTGTACTTATTATGTAAATCCATAAATTGTTGTGCATTTTGTTTACATGATGAGTTTGTTTTCTTGATCACTGGAGTTAAACAAACAAAAAATGCCTTATTTACCAGCACTTCTAAATATGATATGATCAATAACTCTTAGGTTTTTCCGTTACTTTATATCTCATCAAATTAATTTAATTTTTTAAGTTATATGAGATTCGACCTGAGTCAGTTTAATATTAAAGCTGAAATGAATTGAATATACCTGAAATTCAAGCCAGCAACTGAACTTATGCGTTTAATATGTGGAATATGTGGAAATTTTTGACAGTGTAATTGCTGATTGTTAATTATTGGATGTGTTTTTGTGCTGTGTATTATATTCTAATCAATGCAGATTCTTCCGGTTAGATTATTTTGGTATAAAATAATTCCAGTAGTAAAACTAAAGATGAATAGTGTTCGTTGGGATAATTAGGATCTCTCCTTATAATGTTAAACTTATCGTACTTGTGTAGAATGATATTACTATGAATGCATACAGTGTGTAAATAAATGCAATTACACTGGAAACAATAACTTAGGATTTACTTTCAAATTCTAATTATTTTCTCACTGAAATTGCTAAATTTCACAAATAGGAACTGACAAATAACACCTAATTAAATGTGCAATTTTGAAGTACAAAAACTGAAATTTTATTTTCCTGAAAAGCAGTTTTATTTACAACTTCATTTTTTTTTAATGCCACCATAAATGATGATGAAATGCATTACTGTAATTCCCAAAAGGCAACATTAGTCTCTTCAGTTTACTGTAGAATTCTTTCTTAATTGTTGAGGTGACATTTCAGTCAGTGTCAGCAGCAAATATTGTATAATTATTAGATCATAAACTCTAGGTTTGGTGAACTAAAATCATAATGTTGAATAAACAAAAGAAGATGGAGATGTTGTGTGTAAACTGACTCTGCTCTGTAAGTTATATAAAATACAGATGTATTAGAAATGGGTTGAAATGTTGAATACAGCAATCTGAGGAGCACTTCAGTGCATATAGGCAACTAAAACCAAAACTAAAACTTTAAAATAATTTTAATTACGTGATATAAAATCAACATTGACTGAAATAAAATTATATATATATACTGTACATACATATGTATATTGCAACTTGCTTTTTTCATTTTTTTCAGCTAGTTGACAAGGCAAAATTTCTCATTTTTTTTATTTAGTTTAACTTGATGTACTAAAATAACTAAAACTGATATAAAATTAATAAAAACTATATAGACATATTTTAAAAAAAAAACTCTAAAAGTGACAAAAACACAAACTTACTAAAATTAAATCCAAACTGAAAATAAAAATAAAATAAAAACGAATTCAGAATATAAAAAAAAATTTAAAAAAAAAACTCAAATAGTATCTAAAGACACTGATATAACTGCTTCAGTGTGTCCGCCTCACGAAACACCAGGAAAAGAAAAGAAAATAAATCCTAAAATAATGCAATCAACTCTAAATAGCATTAAATGACAGATAAAATTAGATGTAAACCACTTCAGTTCCCATGTTGTGCGTTAGTCATGACGTCAGTTTGTAGGCCAGCGACTGCGCAGCTGCAGCGTCTCTGACAGGACTACATTTCCCATGAGCGCTCGCGCTTACCGTCAATCCGCCGCTGTCATTTAGGCGACGGACGAAAAGCGTGCGAATGCAAAAACCTGCTGGAACCGGAGAAGTTGAGTCGCTTCACGATGTTAACACTGACACTGAGACAACTGATCAGGGTGAGTTTAAACACACACAACCGCATTATAGCGCACGGTAACGCGAAAGCGAATGAATCGCACCAATACAGCGATAATATGCATCAGCGTGCATGCACAACAGAGCACGCATTCGAAGCGATTTAAAAAGAAAATGCATTGACATTTAAAAGTGTCTATGTGACGTGATTTAATAGTCCAGCAGAAGTTCACAATCTGCAACTTTTCAGTTGCATGACCATCTTTGTCAGTTTTGAATGTATGCATATAAGTTACTGAACTCTTGAGATGTCAGGCAGTGCTTGGTAAGGATGTAAACAGCAGATCTGTGTTAACTAGTCTGGTCATACTGGTTAGATGATGCAACCACTCGAGTTTCAGCATGATTCCACTCACATGCATTCGAACACATTTGCATGCAATGCTTTATTTACACACTTTCAGGCTTAAATCGGTGTCTTTACATCTGAAGACTATGAAAGCCCTCACAATTCAAACTTTTTTTTTTCAATTCAATTTCAATGTTTTACTTAGTTTCAGAATTGTGAGAAAAGAATCGAGAGATTAAAAATTCGCAGTTAGCTTTTTATGTTTTATTCCAAGATGCAAGAAAAAAAACATAATTGCAAGATGTAAACTCTTAATTCTGAGAAGAAAAATAAGTCAGAATTGTGAAATCAAAGTCTTTTGCGTCTGAATGCGTTCATCTTTTCTGCCGAGTTTGTAAGTGCAGCGTACTGCTACAGAGATCAGATGTGTTTCAGTGCAATATTTCCTAACGAACCCAATAACACTGACTCTTACAATCAGCTCATACACTGTAAAAAAAAAA